GGGGGGCCCCCCCCCCCCCCCCCCCCCCCCCCCCACCGAGGCCTGCGGCCCCTGGACCCCGCTTCTGCGCCCCCTCCCCTTCCCCTCCCCCTCACCTTCAACGGGACTTCATGACAAAAAATAGTATGTGTCATACGGACCGTGACGTCGGTTTGCGATTCGTGTGAGTTAGCAGCACTCGGCAGTCGGTAAGACAGGACTCATCGCAAACCTCCCTCTACGGTCCTAATGACACAATATACTATTACAATATTGAGTTTTTTATTCTCTCGTTGGATTTCCAAGGGTTCAACGAATCTCTGAAAAAATTGAGGATTAAAAAAAAAAAATTTTCGTACCTATGGTAGCGGTTCAAAGTTTGCCGACTTTGCGGACCTTGAAAATCGGGTTGTTTTTCGGCTTCTCACAGCGATTATAAATAAACTAATCAAATTAAAAACTTGAAACTTCGTATTGGGCGAGTGAAATACTTATATTACACAGTGCAATTGGTCTCATATTTTTACGATTTTTTTTTCATCGAATTATAGACGTTAGTTCCCAGGGGTAGCGTACTCTCGGACCAACTTGTGCGTCCATGTTTGTGCCACACTTGGTTCGTTTTTCCATGCAATGAAAGATAGAAATGAGCATATTTTTTGTTTTGAAGCATTAGAAAGAGAACGATTGCATCTTTGTCGTTAAGTTTTCAAAAGAACAAAATTAATAGATGTGGATTTTTTTATACAATTCGTTCTGAGTGATTTTCCAAGTTTTTTTCTTGGATTTTATAATATTATGATTGTTCGCGATTGCGAATATAACCGCGCTAGCACTTGAAGGCAATCACGGGAGCCCCGAAATCTACGGTCATCGCCCGATCAGCTGGGCGGAGTGCCGAATTGGGCACCTTTTGGACACTGAGACTGTTAATCGTAGCTCCGTGAATGATAATCATATTTGCGCTGATTCAATACCTAAAGTGTATATAACTTGAGTTGTGCAATTAAATATTGTTTTCTTTCATTGGTGTTAAATTAGTTCTCTCAATCCGGGCACTTCGTGATTAACAATCCGCGGTAAAATTAAATAACAATTCAGATTCTAAAGGCAATCGTGAACATGATAAAGATACAGCATAAAAACTCAGGAAATTTATCCAGTAGAGGTTTCGATCTAGATTCAATAGAATTTCTTAGAGAGAGTGCAGGCTGGTTCCATTGAATTTTTTCATACGTGTGAAATAGTAGGAAGAAAATAATGAAAATGGATTATATTTACGTTTATAAGTAAAACTGCATCAACTGTTCCATAATGTCCGTTTTGAAGGGAGAAATTCTCGAGAAGATCTCTGTTCCTCCACAGACTGGCTTGTCTTTCGATCATCACACATGATAATTTCCAAAAAAGCTCGTCATTTTCATCTGAAAAACACAATGAAAAAATTGTTTACTGTAATCAACTTTTCATTCTGAAATTGAAAATACAAAGAAAAATGATACAGACGCACTTATTAAGGTGTTTCGATGGAAGAGTGAAAATAATGAAAAAAAAATTGGAAAATTTATGGTAGAAGTTTCTAAGTATGCTGCATCATTGAGAATTCTTGCACATTTTCTTCAAATCCTAGTTTCAAAATAGTATATTTCGCCATTGCGGCCGTGAGGCAGCGCTTCACGGATGCTCCGCTCCGCGTCCGTGAATCTCTGTCATGACGGCCGCGTCATAACAAAAAATATTGTTTGTCATACGACCAAAAAAAACTTTTCTGACGAATATGATTGCCGAATATGATTAAGTTTTTTTCGGCCTAATGACGAAATAGTATATATATGGAAAAAAAATTTACCACTGAAGAATTTGAAAATGCCACGTGTTTTTTTTGTGAATAACTTCGTGTCACATATTGACCAATCAGAATTAAGGATTAGCGGTCAGGCAGTTTCGAGATATTTCGATATAAAATAACTTCACGTTTCTTTCATCTTTAGTAAATAGGAACGTGCAAGATAGTTGCGGAATTCTTCAAAAGAATCGCTCAAAAACGAGTAGAATTTTTCTATTCAGATAAATTAAATTATTGTGTTCCAATTCTTCTCTGTTGGTAATTCTCATACTACTCCAGTGAAACGTGGCTTGTAATAGGTGGTCATGCAATACTGTTTGCAAACAAAGAAGCCCCGGGGTGAATACTCAATGTTCACATGTACCCATATCTGTGGACCAAGACGATTCTTTGGTTTATATCTGTTAATTAATGAATCTCTAACCAGGAGGTAAAATTGGATAACGAGCGTTTGGCCATATTTGGTTGATCCTCACTTTCCACAATGAGTCGTCCTTCAGAATCTCATGAAATTGTTTACACACAAGTCCAAGATTGTGTACAAGAGTCGAGGCGTCGAGGAACGAGCATATGTGGAGGAAAACCTGAAAGAAATTGCGCGATAATTACCGAAATTAAATTAAAAGAGTAGATGATTGTATTTTTCTGGCAGCATTATGATAATTTTCAAAATTTGATTGTTCAATATTTTTTATCGGTCTATCAAGGGAAAGGATATAAAAATCGAATAGCACATGTGCAAAATTTAGTAGCGTTAGGAAATTCTAATGAAATTGTTCCACAAATACTACGAGTTTTTGTCTATCTATATTGAAAATTTGGTAGCGCCTGCGCGATTTTCTATTGATGCTGAATTGAAAATTTCCATATATTTTGTTTTTTTTAAGACTTCGATGGCTCCTAAAGGAAACTACGTAACTCAGAAAACATTTTCAAAACGACTTATCTCAAGATTTCGTTCTAAACTTAAGTATCTCATGAGTATTGACTGAAGCTTTGTATCTTAGAGGAGATGACAGAAAGCAACTATCATGTAATGGTAGAGAGCTCTAATTAATTTATATTTAGTTTCGTTAGTAACTTGTGAATAAAATTCAGAGCTGCCAATCCTTTGTCCCCAAATTGTTGAAGTTTTTCTTGTTGCTTGAGGAAATCATTCATGGTTTCTATGAATCAAGCCTGTCAATCTTTTAGGGATCAGGATTACCTGATACCTACTGTCGGTGTCAAAAGTAGAGACCACTCGAAATAAACGTCTATAACTCAGTGAAAAAAAATCGTAAAAATATGAGACCAAATACACTGTGTAATATAAGTATTTCGCTTGCCCAATACGGAGTTTCAAGTTTTTAATTTGATTAGTTTATTGATAATCGCTGTGAGAAGCCGAAAAACCCCCCGATTTTCAGGGTCCGTAAAAGTCGGCAAACTTTGAACCGCTAGCAAACGTACGAACATTTTTTTTTAAAAATCGTTAATTTTTTCAGAGATTTGTATAACCCCTGAGAAGCCAACCAGGGAAGAAAAAGATCGAAATTGCGATAATTATTCATTTTATTCATAGAAATGTCGACTGCGGCTAATTCGTTGTAGAATTGCCGAGCCGACCTGAAAAAAAAACAATGCATTTTGAGTTCAATGTAAAACACATTCGGTCAATAGTTTTTCAATAAACAATCTCCGTTGATTTTTAAAAAAATCAAGAAAATTTGTCAAAAAAAGTGCTGTTAAAACGATCATAACTCGTTATGGGGTTTATGGGCCCGCTCACCGCCAGTCCCTCAAAATTAAAAACGCATGTGCGCCCGGCTACCTTTTTCAGGGGCGTCGATACCAGTTTCAGCCGTTTGGGCCCTTTGGGGCGCCAATATACTGTACATTGCTACTTTCCCATTAAAACAAAAATACGAACACGAATATTTTTCTTTTTAATAATTGTATCATTAATTATACGTACTAATGGGTTTCATCAATATTAATCATTTGAAACATGTGGCTACAATTAATTATTATTTGTTATGTTTAAATATAAACTCATCCACTGTTCTTAGCATTACCCAGGGCCAACGACGGGGATGTGGCAGTGGTCATGACCCCAAAAATAAATTATTTCCTATATTCGGTCCCAAAATTTTGGAACGAATACTGGAATATCATTCAATTCTTATTCAAAAATTTGCTGTCGTAATGAATTTGAAGTTCATTTTGCAGAANTAACGAGTTATGATCGTTTTAACAGCACTTTTTTTGACAAATTTTCTTGATTTTTTTAAAAATCAACGGAGATTGTTTATTGAAAAACTATTGACCGGAAGTGTTTTACATTGAACTCCAAATGCATTGTTTTTTTTTCAGGTCGGCTCGGCAATTCTACAACGAAATAGCCGCAGTCGACATTTCTATAAATAAAATGAATAATTATCGCAATTTCGATCTTTTTCTTCCCTGGTTGGCTTCTCAGGGGTTATACAAATCACTGAAAAAAATTGACGATTTAAAAAAAAAAATTTCGTACGTTTGCTAGCGGTTCAAAGTTTGCCGACTTTTACGGACCCTGAAAATCGGGGGGGTTTTCGGCTTCTCAGAGCGATTATAAATAAACCAATCAAATTAAAAACTTGAAACTCCGTATTGGGCAAGCGAAATACTTATATTACACAGTGTATTTGGTCTCATATTTTTAAGATTTTTTTTCACTGAGTTATAGACGTTTATTTCGAGTGGTCTCTACTTTTGACACCGACAGTAGTTACCACTCATATAGAATGCTACTGCCGAAAAACTAATAGCAATAATTGGAAAAATTCAAGTAGATATTGATGAATACAGTGGCAAAGAAGCAATCAGATAAAATGAATGAGTAGTTTCAAAATTATTTACCAACCCCTTCATTACCCAACTACATGAAAAATTAATGTTAAAAGAAATGAGATGACAGCAATTGATAGTCCAACTAAGGTAAATGTACCTATGCTCGTTCTGATGTCGCGAGATATCAAATTTTAATCATTTTGACAGTCATAAGAATGTTTTAAGAGTGAAATACAATTGGAGTTATTATGTTAGTTAATAAGGAAAGTTATTGACATCAATGAACAGTGATTTAGTGAAGAATAAGAGAGAAAACTCCCATTCACATCAACTGGTGCTACGACAGTGAATTCTTAAGCTGCAAGTTAAGAAACTCACAATTCTAAAATGTTGATATCTCCGTTATAATCGTAAACAAGTGGATAATGGCATTTTCTGTATATGGGTATAGTTTATGTTGCTAACAAATTAGCAATATGCTTCTGAATGGATTCTCTATTTTTGAAATTTATTACTCTTTTTTTTCATTGTTTTGAATACTAATGAGACCCATATGACCCCGTGTGACCCCCATATAATGCCATATTAGTCCAATATGACCTCATGCAGCCCCTATATGAACCTCATATGAACCCATATCACTTCATATAACCCCATATGAGCCCATATGAGCCGATTATGATACCATGTGACCTGATAACCAAATGATCTCATATGATCCCGTACAACTTTTAAATGATCCCATATGACCCATATATGGCCGCCATATGACCTAAAGCGTCATATTGCTACTATGCAGCTTAATAGATAGTTATGCTGTTTTCATCATCTTTGCACTTCATCGAGAAAGCATCAAAACAATCTCTTTGAGCCATGATTTCATTGATATGACTGTTAATTTTTCCAGTTTATCATGACAAAAATGAAAAAAAAAATCTCACAAACTATATGCTGTAGCTTAACAGTGATAGATGCGATCCGCATCAAGAGGCTATCAATACAATTTTTTAAAGCCATGATTCATTTCATTCTGATAACAATTCTTGGACTGAGCGTCGAAAAATCGATTTTTGAAAAAGTACCAATATATCACAAACTCTATGAATAATTGAATTCATTTAATTGGTGTTGATGAATAGAGCCCATTAACGTCTATATCCACGGAAAAATTCATGAAATTTCATCAAGCTCCTATAAAGAAAATTGAAAAAACAAAAATTGAAAAAAAGTACATACACACATACATATACATATGCATACAGACACCATCTAAAAATCGCATATTTGGACTTTTTAGACCATATTTAGTTACTCTGACACAAAAATTTGGAAACTTAATTTTGAACGCATACAAAGCTTCCATTTGGAAGCAAAAGGGATTAGAAATCCCTTGACCGAGATTTCGGATGGTTAAAAAAGCAGTAAAAATGCATAAATTATAGTCATAGCTTAATATTTCACAGAAATTTCGGCAATAAAAAAAATAGATACAATGGAAATGGCATTGATCCTTTGCTCGACGTGCAAACAGCTGTTAACTGGTAACAGACTAAACGGATGAAAAAATCATTTTCAAGATTGGACTGTCCCATTGAAATATAATTTTGCGCCTCGAGATATGTTTTAATGTTGTTTTATCATAAAATAGGATGCTCACAATGTTATTAGTTGGATATACCCTTTCCATATCACTCAAATTACGAGACGAGGATAGGGACATGTGTCAAACGTGCATGGGGACAAGCGAGCAAGCGTAGGGATACGGGACTTTCCACATTTATGGATGGTTATTTATTAAAATGTGGTAGTTATCATGATTAATATAAGTGAATTCTAACCCGGAAGGTTTTACCGTATGATGTTTAATTTAAAACATCACATTTTCACACTCATTTTTATAGTGTTCCACTTAGCTAGACGAGCGTAGGATCATTTACCTTAAAGTAGCTCTACCCTTCGGCCGGGCTACGCTGTACTTTTGGATATTTTCAGTTTTAAAATTTTTCAACTAAATTGCACGGAAAAAATTTGAAAAAATTCATACCCAGTCAGTATTATCTAAATTAAATTTCGCAAAATATTGATATTTTGTCAAACATCTCCCTCTTATAAATGAATAATAAAACTTGTTTGCAGAACGGTGGATTATTTTTTATGAGGTGTCAAAAAAATTCTTGATTTTTTCACATCTAATGAAAAAAAAAATCAGATTTTAATCTTTGATTACAATGGAAATGTTGATTTTCACATAAGACACTGGGTTAAATCCTGATTTTTAAAAATTTCTTCTTTGAAAAACCAAAACGATAATTAAATTGAGCAAAAAATTAGAATTCCGCATCTAATCGAGTTTTCTGCAATTTTTTTGCAATTTTCAATAATCTTTGAATTTACCGTAAGGGTAGAGCTACTTTAAATCTTCTTTTCCCTTAGGAACCTAATTTCAGGCTACAGGTTTCCATGGTTTCCATTCTCGAAATGTTAATTTCTCAATGAAAATAATTGAAATACAATTTTTCAAAGGATAAAGAAATTTTTGTCTGAGTATACCAATTGTTAAATTGATTGAATATTCGTAAAGCCATAAGAGGTTTGGTTTTCTGACAACTGACAACCGATATGAAATATTCTCCAAGCAAAGAAGTATAAAAACTTGGAAAATCCCACCAGAATGAGTTATACAGCACAATCATCTATTAATTTTCTTCTTTTGAAAAATTTACAACAAAGATGCAGTAATTCTCTTTTTAATGCTTCTAAAAATTATTCTGATTTCTAGCCTACATTGGAATGAAGGATGGCCAAGTGCTTTGGCGATTTTTTCTCCTGTAAAATGCTTTTCTACTTTTGTAGTCGAACCTCAGACATTTGATTTGAACCGCATTTGACCCCAAGTTTTTGAACATTTTACAATGATTTTATTATTTAAACTTTGCAGGTCTACAAAATATGAAAAAAAGAGAAAGTTTGAACAATTTCAATTATTTATTTATAAAGAACCAATATTTGAAAAAATAATTCAGTGGAAAATGTAATTTTAATGATGCTAAATATTCATGATTTTTGTCAAATTTTTCTCACGCAATTTAATTGACAAATTCCATGATTGAAAATGGTTGAATCTATGGTGTGTTCTGTAGCAAATTGTAAAAGGTACTTGAATATCCTCAATGCCCCTGAGATAGTGTCAAAAAATGTTCGTCAAAATTGGCAAAAAAAAATCATGCGTTCATTCGCCTCCAACACAAGAAAAAAGTAATAGACACCATATAAGGTCATTTAAATATCCCCTATCAGCTGATGCATTTGTTTTGATCTGAATGGCTCCAAAAATCCGTCTAAAAGCCTCAGGAGAGCCTCGAGAAAAACGAATTATGAAACTATTTAGAGTACTCTTACCTCCACTGGAAGATCCAGAAGTGAAATATGTGGCTCCAGCTCCTCTGGAAAATCCTCACTTGTCGTGACATCGAATTCTCGATCGCCCATCGCCAAGGGGAGTTGTCTTTTGAGGCTAACACTTCGCTTCTCATTCGTAAAAACTCACTCACTGGTCTTTGGAAAAAACAAAGGAGCTATTTAAAACATTAGTTCGGTTTCTTAAAGTATTTTTTATAACGAAATTCGGTTTGACTTGAATTATTGTTGGGGTTGACGTTTATAACGACACAACTACAGCTGCGGACTGTCCTAATACTGTCCAACAGTTGTGTTTGGCCGCAACACTCAGAGACTGCAACACTGATATATTCACGAAGTCCGGAGATTACCGATGGTTCACGATGATTCCACGAGGTTAATTTCGAATTGGAGAATGTAAAAAATTTCCGTTCTTCTTTTCAAACTGAATGGTTTTCATTTAAAAAAAATGTCTGTTGATCATTTTTTTTAATTTCACAAAGAAAAATAGGTGGACAATTGCATTTTTTAAAATAAATGAGTAGAGTAATTGTTGATAATAAATTAGCAATTTGCTTTCGCATGGGTTATCTTTTTTTCAATTATTCTTTTTTTTTCATTTTTCTATTTTCTTCTTCTATTTTTTCATGCCACAGTAGGGTGAACAGGCCAATTGCTGGACGATTGCTGGAATCACCTAAATGGGGATATGATGGCATCCATACCTTCAAGAATGTTTTAATTAGCAGAAAGAAATTATTTAAAGTGAAAATAACAAAACACAGAATAATTAAATTAAGAAATAGTTGAATGCAGCCGAAACTCCCAATTTCTTTTTTTTTTTTTTTTTTTTTTTGCTTTTTTTNTCTGATGAGACTATATGGCGATTGATCAAGACTTTAAAAATGGTTAGATCTCACCATTCTACCCGGCCAGGAATCGAACCTGGAACCTATCCGTTGTGAGGCAACGGCCTTAACCACTACGCCAGGCCACCGGGCTTCCCAATTTCTGGACGACTGGGCCATATTTTTTTTTATTTATCAAACGTCGATCAATGGAAAAAGTAATTGATCATGTGATTACACAAGAGTAATATTGTTGAAAGGTGAAATAATCAGTAGTAATACCACGAGACCTGCAAAATTATCGGATATTTCCCGATTGTTTTGTTGCGTAGCAACGAGAGGGAGAAGTTTTGCAGATTAAAATCCCGGGGGCGCTGCGCGAGGGATTTTTGTGCAAAACTTATCCCGATCGTTGATACGCAGGAAAACATGAGGGAAGTGTCCGATTAATTTTGAAGGTCGAGTAGTATTCGACGGATTATTTTTTGTAATCGGATCCTTCCCAAACCGACTCCGATTTTGACTTTCTTCATGACTTTCTTTCACTCCACAGGATAATATTTGACAGTTATTTGGTTACAGAAACAATTGCAGAGCTAGAGGGAAATTATCAAAAGCTACAGGGAAATTATCAAAAGCTAGGGGGAAATAACCGCTGTAATTTTAATTGGGAAGTACTTCATGTTATTGAATACTGAACTCTGATTGGCTCAGGGAAGACCAGATCCGATTACTAAAAATAATCAGTGCAATTTTCAATTTATTTATGGAATATTTCATGCAAGTTGAAATCGTCCAGAAACTACCCCCATCCAGAAATTGACCTGTTTATCCTTCTATCATTAATTGGAATGTCATCAAAATTTTACGTATTATTCCTTCTGTCAAATAATTCGATATTTAGACCTTCTGAAAACTCGAATTCGTTTTCAGTCCCGGCTTAATCAAAGTTCAATTAAGGATATCCAAGTATATTTTACAGTTCGGTAGAGACTACACCATAGATTCAACCATTTTCAATGTTTAATAAATTAATTAATTTTCAATTTTTCATAAATAAATAATTGAAATTGTTTAAAATTTCGGAAACCTTATTTTTTAGATATGAAATAAATTTTTGGTAAAATTTTGAATGTGAATAAATTTGTTACGATTTTGAACAAATGATTTTTATGGTGGAAAATTGTTTATAAATTATTTGTAGAAAATGCTCGTAATTTTCGAAAATTGCAATTTTATCAATCTGCCTCCAAAAGTTAACCGTCTTAATAATTTTCATATTTTTAAAATGCTTCCTAACGGCTCGATATCCAGATTCAAATTCAGACTTGCAAAGTTTAAATAATAAAATCATCGTGAAATGCCCAGAGACTTAGGGTCAAATGGGGCTCAAATGAAAGCTCTTATATTCAACTACAAAAAAAGAAAAGAATTTCACTGGAGAAAAAAAAACCAAAATACTTTGATATCCTTAAGTTTTAATCAGTGTATCGGCAGGATTTATGGCTGTTCTCGCCTTTTTTCAACTCGATTAAGAACGCATTTAAGTATACTTTTCAAGGCCTGATTTAACTACTATTGCTGATGATTCTCTTAGTAATGATGAAAAAATTGATTTTCTCTTTCAAATCATGATAAACAATGTGCTGTAACTCAACAACAAAATCTGCGATTCCCATCATATTCCGATAGAATCAAAAGGGTATTATTATCAATATTTTTACCCATGGCTACACTGATAGAAAAAAATAATTTTATCAAGAGAATTTTATTTGAACCAACTATCATTTGGTTGTTAATTTTGAAATAAACATGATTTCGCAGTGAATATCAGTTATCTCTTCTTGAGATACATTTGATCGGGAGAAATCGAAATTCTCTAAAATTGAAGTTCCTTTTATTTGTTGCAATAAGGAGAGTATTTGATTTCTTTCTAGCCAAAAGAATCTTTCGATTGATCCCTTGTAAGAAAATTTCGAGATTGAGATTTGAGATTGGGTTTGGAGACTAGAGAGACAATCGGTTTGAGAACGATAGTCGGAAAAGTAAAAATGAGAAGGAACAGTATCCGTAAAAACCAAAAGGTATAAGGAAAAAAATTATTTCTCAACCGTATTTCCGTGTTTTCCCCTTCAATACCATGAGAAATTCCTTTAGTTTTAATTTTTTGGAAAATGTCCTTTTCCACCGATTTCATTTTGTCGGTCAGTGTAATTAATGCAGGACAAATATGACAATAATGAGCGTCAATCAAGATAGGCGATAGTATATTTAATTGTTATTATTTTCGGTGTATCTATCACATGCCTTCTTTCGAGAAATTTTTGGTGGAACCTTTAGTATCAGGGATGGCTATCAATCTTCCGATTCTTCAATATTGAAAGAATTTCCGACTTAAATTGATCAAGGTTTAAATATACTAATAGAAATTAAAAAATAGTAAAATAGTTGGCAATCTACATTTCCAATTGATGATGAATTAAATATTTGAAAAGATTTGACTCATTTTTTCCACTTGGCCCTCATGATCCTTTGAGACTTAAAACTGTTTCGCCATTTCACTTGGTTTTCTGGTTCGACCGTTATACGCCCGCTCCACCCTTATTTTGAATCCCGGAGATTTCATGTAATGAAAAACCTGATGACAAAATTGTCATGCGTCATCCATCTTGGGGAATAAATATTATATTAATTTACATGAAATAGTTACTAATAAAGGGGTCCGAAAGAAGAACAAAAAGAATTGTGTGGGTTTTTAATTCGCATTCGCCGCGGGTCAGTTGGAGGACATAGCTACGCGCTAAACTTCCATTTGTGATTTATATTTTAGAAACCGCCCAGTAAACATTGAGCTCACAATTTGTTGGCAATTTGCTTGCTAATTTTCCGCAGTTTAGGAATAAAAATGTCAACATAATGACGACAAAACTTTCCGATAACTGGTCTATTATGCATCAGCAAGTTATCATGAGAATTATCCGTAAATTTGCCGATAAGTTTGCCATCGAAAAGCAGACAAAATAAAGCCAAATTTTTGTACAAAATTTGATGACAAATCTTCAACAAACGAAGGGATTGTTTTGCTTTCAAATATTGTCATTATTTGTCTTCTAATTTGCTGGTATAGTTGAAGGGTGGGGCAAAGTTGATGTCGGGCTTAAATTTGTTAAATGGTGATTTATTTGAGGGTTACGATCCCGTGGTTATCTACCGATTATCTACCGAGCAACAATGCAAAAATGCCATTGTTCCACTTTGGCCCACCCCCCTCAATATCTTATTATGAACAAAATTTGTCAATATTGTGATTAAAGCAAATTCAAGTAGTGAATAAAAGTGGCTATATCTTTTCTGAACTTCAAAGTCTATTGATAATTTTGAGGAGATGTCAAGGAATTGGATCAAAATAAAAATCTTTCAAAACCCTCACCATCGTCAATCATATAGCCAATTTTTTCTGTGGTTGTGTATGAAATAAGATGACTTCTCAAATATTTTCACATTTTTGCCGCGTCTTGTCAGCAGTTGTATTGTGTTCTAAGTTATCTTCACACACCTGTAACATGCATAAAAATCAAACAATTCAATTTTTTTTTCTTTTCAAAATGTGCATCTTCTGACACAATTTTCAAAGAGGAATTTTTTAATAAAATTTTCAGTGAATATATAGGACCAGAAAACAATTTTCCACCAAAGACCAAAGTTAAGATCTCATTAGGTGGCTCCCATTTTCAATTTGAATATACGAATTCATGATGAAAAATTAAAAAGATATCAAAACTTCGTCTGCATTTGAACGTGGATGCATAATGTAAATTTGTCGCTTGAAAAATCAATGCACCTTATTCAGATCTCAAACAATTGAATGATTTTTTATGTGTTCCAATGGGATCTTCACTTTGGCCTTTGGTGAAAATATTTATTTTGGAGCCAATATATCCACTGAAATTTTTATAAACAAATAGAATAGGTACAACCGCGAAAACAAGTATTTTTAAATTTTTTTTGACGTTTTTGAAAGGAAAGCGATGGAAGAACGAAGAAAAGAAAATTGACCATTTCCGTATGAAAAGTAGGTCAGAAGACACACATTTTGAAAAAATGAAAATAAATTGGTTGATTTTTACGGAAGATGTAGGTGTTCGAAGACAAAACTTGGAATAAAATATATAATAACTGCTCGCAGAATGCGTCAAAAAAATCAGGAAAAATTTGAGAAGTCATCATATTTCACATACAACCCCCAAAAAAATAGGCTTTATGATTGACGATGGGGAGGGTTTTGACCACGTTGAGATCACATGGCATTGCCCATATATTATTGATGTAGAAATATGAGAATCTATTGTTCCTTTCAGTCAAATACCTATTCATTACGGATTTGTAGAATTTGAAGAATTTGAAATCTATTTCTCATTAATTTTTCCAACATCCTTTTTTCCATAATCATTCCACAAGATGAGAAATTA